GTTCTAATTGCACTTTATCAATGCAGGATGTTGTCAACAATATTTGTGACGATGAGGATATTAAGGCTGTATCTTTTGTTGGTTCCAATACAGTAAGTGATTCTAGTGACTCATCTGTTTCTCTATTTGTTGTACATTTTTTGCATCAATAATGTGGTGTATATTTTGTTCTGCATAATATGTACAAACGATCCTTCAACCTTTTCCTTTTCATCTTTGAATGTCATTAAGTTATTAATCCTTAATCCTTATTAAAAAACCATTGGACTGCTCACAAACATGTCTCATATGTCTAATCTTTTGAATCACCATTATCGTAATGCTCCAAAATCTAATCAATTTTGATCTTGGCATAATTTATCTATTTTGAATTTATCAAGATCCCAATAAGAGCTATGCATTTACACAGTTATTTCTGTTATTGTATTTATGTTAACATCATTAATGTGTTGTCACAATATATTTATAAAGATGCATTTACAAACCTAGTTGAACATTTTACATTAGATTTACAAGCATATACTACATTGGAATAATGATGCTTCTAGTGCTTAAAGGTAGTCCCTTCCTTTTCTCGAATCTCAGTTGAGCAATACTTTGTGATTTCTCTGTCTCAGGCTGGTATGCATATATATTCTAGGGCGTCTGCAGCTGGAAAGCGTGTTCAGGTGAGTTTTTATCTCTGCTTACTTTCAGTCAAAACTATTTTAATTTTCTACCTTGTTGTAAGTAGCATGATCCACAACATATGTTTCTGTTTCTTTATAGTGCAATATGGGAGCAAAGAATCATGCAATTATCCTTCCTGATGCTGATAGAGATGCTGCATTGAATGCCCTTATTGCTGCTGGGTTTGGTGCAGCAGGGCAAAGGTGCATGGCATTGAGCACTGCTGTTTTTGTTGGTGGTTCAGAATCATGGTATACATACTTTTTTTCCCTTAAAGATAAGTTTTAGACTTTTAGTATATTCTCTTCCGAGGTAGCACAACTAACCAAAATTTGTCCTAGGGAGGATGAATTAATCAAACGTGCAAGTGGCCTTGTTGTTAATTCAGGAATGGTTAATGATGCAGACCTTGGTCCAGTGATCAGCAGACAGGTATCTTTTGGACTGCCTCACAATTTATGTTATTTGTATTATGCAACTTGTGGATACACTGTCAATAACTTTGTGAATGTTAGTCATAGAATGATAGAAGTACCTGTTTTTCCCGAATACAAGAGCTGTTTTCCCCCATATAATCTGACTATTGAAAGGGATTAAGAGGAGAATACATTGCATCCTCATTCCTCAAACTGAAAATGATCGGACTATATGGACTTTGGACCTTGATGAGTAAATATTGGTAAAAAAGAGATCCACATAAATATGGTATTCATTGATTTACCTTTTTGAACTTGGACGGGACACAAAGACCTTTGTTTTACCAGAGTAAAGTCCAGGGGCTGTTTTTGTAGTCAAAAAGTGACTGTGAAAGTGTAAACAGGGTTCTTGAATCTTGATGCCCTTCAAGAATTCTACTGGTAGGTGGTAATCAGTGCTAACACTGAGATGGACCTATCATATTAAAATTAATTGGTTTGGGGATTAGTGAGTGACATTACTTTATCATAGTGTGGACTTTGCTTAGTACTTAAACATCTAGTATCGAAGTTGATCTCTGGCCTCAACTTAGTTCAGGATTCAGGATCATAGAATGTTTTTCTGGCATATAGTCATATGCGAGTTATCCAGTCTAGTTAGTATGTTTGAATAACTGAAGTATACTATCTTTTGTGTTTGGTTGTAAAAGTATTATCACCTTGGGATTCATACCATTATTGCAGTTACTAGGTTGCTGATCGAAATGAACTTTCTGTTTGTTGCGGGGATCTCTTATCTTGCAGTCTTGCTTCACTACCATGAAGTTTCTAGCTTCGTAATTGAGGGCCTTTGGGTTTTCACTGTTTCTTTTCTGCTAACATTCACTAAAATCAGGCAAAGGATCGTATCTGTAAGTTAGTCCAAAGTGGTGTTGACAGCGGTGCTCGTATATTGCTTGATGGAAGAAAGATTGTGGTAATCTCAATAGTCCAGTTGTTTATTAGCCTGCCTGCAGTTCTACTACACCTTGTTAACCTGAAATCTCTGTAATGTGCAGGTTCCTCACTATGAAGATGGAAATTTTGTTGGTCCAACCATTCTGGCTGATGTTAAAAGTGACATGAATTGTTACAAGGTAGTTTTCAGAAATTGGTAATGAAATTTAACTTTGCATCTCAGTTGTAGGATTTGGGGTCATGGAGAAGCAGAATTATTTGTAGGATCTGCTGTCCGTATCTTTCAAGAATTGAAATATGGAGTGCACTGTAGGTAAATTGGTTTCAAATTGAAGTGCAAACCTTGAATATGTTCGACAGTTGACACAACAATTATTGGGAGCCATTATCCATTGTGAAAATACACATTCTGAATTGTTGACGGAAGACATATTGCTGATGCACCATTTTACATTATCTCTGATTTTATGTGATTATGACTGGAGAATTAATGTTCCCCAGCACCCCATAAGATTTCCACCTTCAAGCCACCTTCAAGCCACTGCTTGCCAATTGAAGTGCAAATCATTTAGTTTGCATAATGTGTATGTCAAACTGCAATCGTGTTAGTTTCCACCTTCAAGCCACTGCTTGCCAAAATCCCCATAAGCGGATTATCCTTTTGCGGTGGTGAAAGCACATATGCATGTATTAATTAACAGTTCATCAGAAGATTATTCTTATTTCTCAGTGTCAGTGGTAGCTGCTGCATACTTTGTAAGCTGTGTGAAGAGTCTAACCGAAATTAAGTATTTTCTCAAATCTCAAAAACAAACTTGGAAAGACTGTACAAATTGGAGGTAAAATATTGCTGTTAGTTAGCAAGTCATTCCCTAAATAAATCAAGGAAACTCATCTTGATGATGGTATATTGATTGAACCTTGTTAACTTATTGAAACAGGAGGAAATATTTGGTCCAGTGCTTCTCTTAATGAAGGTATGCTGAATTTCCTTTTTCCATTCAGCATCAATAGGTTATGCTGTGCTGCCACTACTGACCCTTTTTTTTCTCTCAAAATTTCAGGCAGACAGCCTAGATTATGCCATCCAAATTATAAACAGAAACAAGTAATATATTTCTCCTCTATGCTTGTAGATCTGAAGCATTCCTTGCAATCTAGTATAAATATTTATTCATCCCTGTCTGCAGGTATGGCAATGGGGCTTCCATATTTACAACATCTGGTGTCTCTGCCAGGAAATTTCAAACAGACATTGAAGCTGGCCAGGTATAGTATCTGTCATTTCAAAGAAGAAAAGAAAAGAAAGGAAAGGAATGGTTCCATTCTGAATTTGATAAAACTAGGAACCAGAAGAAATGAATTGAGTCATGCAGCATGGATTATTATTATTCATAACATTCTTATGGTTTCATTTGCAGGTGGGCATCAACGTGCCGATTCCAGTTCCCCTGCCATTCTTCTCCTTCACGGGCAGCAAAGCTTCATTTGCAGGAGATTTGAATTTCTACGGTACACCCTTCTCAGCTTAACACCACTTGATCCTTTCCCAATAGTCACAATGGCACTGACGTCATCGCAAGCCATTATATGCCCGGGTAACTAACACGATGGCGTGGGATGTCAGGCAAGGCTGGCGTGCAGTTCTTCACCCAGATCAAGACGATCACGCAGCAGTGGAAGGAGTCACCAGCACAGCGGGTCTCCCTCTCCATGCCCACCTCGCAGAAGTGAGACGCCAAGGACCCTACCCCCACTCTACAAAGCTTCACTCCTCTGGACATAGACCCATGCATGGCCACCAGTTGTCCAGGTGGATCGGTAGGCACAGCAGCACTCCATGCATGGCCATGATACTAGTGTGCTCGCTCGCTCTTTTGTCGGACACCACACCATGCATGCCCATTCAAAACATCCAATTACCAAGATTTAGATATGACGGTGCCCATTCTGCTGTGTAAAGGTTAAAGAATACTGTAAAAGCCCCGGGTCTGTAGATCGAGTGTCATGTGTAAACCCACAATAAGAGCAGAAATAAAAATGTCAGCCGTGCTGGTTTGTGGTATTTGCCTGTGCGATTTTCATTCACAAATATGGACTTGACACCTGGCAACCTACATCCCCGGTCGTGTTAGCCAGTTGTGGGTTGCTGCCTATATTTCATATGTTCAACAAAAGTAAAAGATAACAAACATGCGATCTCCACTAATTTCTGGATTACTATACTGATAGGAATGCAATAATATTTTAAAAGCAAGTTTCTATTCAATCATGATGGCTGCATTATACATTGGTGTCTGGCGTACGAGGACTTGAGGCGTACGGCATTCTGGGAACAGCATTTCACAACAAACACACCACAAATTGATAATTCTGTTTTAGAGTTCATACAAATCTTTATTACAACAAATTGAAGACTCAGAACTGAGTAAACAACATAGGTATGGCAAACCACTCCACAAAATACACCACAAATTGATAATTCTGCTTTAGAGTTCATACAAATCTTTATTACAACAAATTGAAGACTCAGAACTGAGTAAACAACATAGGTTTCAAACAACTCCACAAAACACACCACAATATGTTCCATTTTGTACAAACAAAAAATAAATTGGTTGTAATAATAAATATTGGCACAGGACATAGAAAAGCTTAGGATGCATCTTCCTGAATACGGAGAATGGTGTTCCCAGCTTGTGTAGTGAATAGTGATGATGTGGATGCCTTTGGGGTAGAGAATCTGCAGCAAGCAAATTAACGTGGAAGTCTGGAACACTGGTCTGTGTAGTCGAAGATTCCAGCTTGTACTAATGATCAATGACCTGCCACAGTAACAAGGGTAGGAAAAGAAGCGGCTATTAGTTTAGGCGTTCTGTTAGCAAAATGGTACTGCTTTACATGTGCCAGACAGGTTACCTTATATATTTAGGCAATACTGAGGTAAGATGTGATGAATTAAGCTTGAATCTCCTCGATCTCATTCGCCCCACTGCTGCTAGCCTCATTGATACCTTCAGAACTCTCCGCAGCCCCACTGCTGCTAGCCTCATTGTTACATTCAGAACTCTCCGCAGCCCCACTGCTGCTAGCCTCATTGCTACCTTCAGAACTCTCCGCACTAGCTGGCCTCCGCAAAACCACTATCTTCTCGATCTCATTCGCCCCACTGCTGCTAGCCTCACTGCTACCTTCAGAACTCTCCGCACTAGCTGGCCACCCCAGTTCTTTTGTCACGACGTCGATCGTGGTGCTGATGCACGGGCTGTCTCCTCGATACCATTTGTTGCATTGGAAGCTGACTTCTTCCAGGCGCACGAGGTGCTTGATACCCATAGGGGGGTCTGTATTTGGTGGGCCACCGTAGAACTGGAACTCGAACGTAAGGTACTCCAGCCTCGGCATAGCTCCTTCCTGGAAGGTAATCCGTGGCACTCGGCTGTCAACAGTGAGGATCTGGAGCTTTGCGAATCCTCCACTGCTAATGACTATCGTCTTTCTCGGGACAACTTCGAACCTTAGCGTGAGGTCCCAAAGGTAGGGCATCTCCCGCAGAATCTTGAGATCCTGCTCCTCCTCTAGTTTGCAGATCCTGATATCCAAGGTGCCAATATTGTTGAAGTGCTCTTTGATCCACCACGGGATGTGCATGTGCTTGGTGCCGACGACTAGTCCACCATCACCGATCAAATAACATGATTTTTGAAACGACAGGATCTCCCCGGCCAGCGATGACACCAGGTCACTATTCTTCCATGCTTTGTGGACGCACTTGGGCAATCTCTCCAGTTTTGATAGCTGGCCAGCTTCAAAGGGTAGTGTGCCGATGTTCGCATCTAGATCCTTCAGTTTCTTCAGTCCTCCGATTTCCCTCGTTATCTTCCTTACCTTCGTTCCCTGTAAATGCAGTCTCTCTAAATGCTGCAGCCTCCAGATACCCCGAGGCAGCTTCGTCATTGTTTTAACATCATTCAAATAAAGAGCTTGCAAATACTGGAGATTCCCGATCTCACGGGGTAGCTCTGTGATCCCTGTATGACTCAAATACAGAGTCTGCAACCGCTGGAGATTGCCAATCTCACGGGGCAGTTTTGTGATCCCTGTTGCTTCCAGGTTCAGCGTCTCCAAATTCTGCAGTTTCCCAATCTCCTTGGGCAGATCTGTGATCCTTTCGTTGAAACTCACGTCCAGATTCTTCAACTGCCGCAGTTCCCCAATGTCACTAGGTATCCCTGAGAGCTTACTCCAAGTCACGTCCAGAGTCTTCAGTTTCTTCAGTGTCCCGATGATCTCCCAGGCCTGCTCTCTGATGCTTGATTGACGAATGCGCAGAGTCTCTAAATGCTGCAACTTCCCCACCTCCCTAGGCAGCTCTGCGAGCTCTTGGTTCCAAGTCACTTCCAGAGTCTTCAATTGCTTGAGGTCACCGATCTCAGCAGGTAATCTTGTGATCTTTGTTTCAATCACTTGCAAAGTCTCCAAGTACTTCAGCCTCCCTATGTCCGCTGGGATTTTACTAATCCCATCACCCCAAAGGCGGAGCAGCCTCAGACGGAGCAGCCCACACATATCCTTCAGATGTTGATTCTCAAGAACCGAATTGCATTGAACATTCAACACTCGCAGATTTTCCAAATGCTTGTAGGGTACCCTCTCGGCATGTTTAAAAACGAAAGGGACCGGATATGATGCCAATCAATTCCTGACAAGGGATCCACTGCATCACTGCTTGGCCAGTAGTCAATACATAGCCGACCGACCGGAGAGGACTGAATGTCAGAACTGCAAGTGATGAAATTGTGTTCACGCAACTTGCATCTAAGGTAATTTCGCATCATGGGGTGCAGGGAGTCATCTATAATGAATCCCCTGTTGACAAGCTCCTCAAAGTATTCTTCTGCTGCCTCCTCCTTACCAGCGAAACCTTCAGCGATCCATGGCCTGACCAAATCATCCCTTCTAAAACTGTGACCCTCAGGGTATATGCTGCAGTACAGCAAGCAAGTCTTCAACATATGATGAGGAAGATCGTTGTAGCCAAGCCCAAGCTCCAAACTCTCTACTAATGGTTCAAAACCTGGAGTGTTCTGAATCCCATTTCTGGTAACTTGTTCGAAAATCCTGTCGTGCACATCACACTGCCCTTGTTGTTCTTGATGCTCTTGCTCCTTAGCCAATACCGACATCATACAAGCCCCTGCTAACGGCATACCAGCACACATCTCCACAATAGGGTGGTCACGGACTCGAGAACCATAATTACGATGACTAATTTTGTGGACCAACGTATCAAAATCATCACGCCACTTCTCGGCTATAGCATTAACACGACTCGTCGTGACAATTCGACTGCCCAGATTATTGTCTGGAAGAAGAGACTTCTTGATGGTTTCCCATTCTCCGTAATGCCAGATGTCATCTATTATAACCAGGTACCTATAAATAGTTGAAAAAGAGACAATATTGTTAAGTGCACTACGTGGCAAAGACACTGTTTCAGAGATCCGGTGTACATCTTGTATTGGTCACTGCCTCGATCGCAGATAAGCACTTTCCAATACTACAGTATAGCGGCGTTCGTCAAAAAGAAGAAGAAGAAAACAGTGTAGCGTCACAAACCATACCTACTTAAATAGAGTCTTATTATATATATAAAACAGGGTTCATACAAACCAGCCAAAAGACCTTATTCAAGCACAATGGCCCGATGCATACGTGTAACTTGGGTGCCGAATACTCAGGCAAATCATCATGTCCTGTCACTACGGGGATTTGCTATAATAATACTCCAAGGTGACTATGAACCATTCATTTATGTAGATCTTTATGGATCACATATTACTCTCTCCGTCCCAAATTAGGGATTTCAAGTTTGACTAAATTTATATAATAAAATAATAACATTGATAATACGAAATAAGTATCAATAGATTCTTCATTAATTATATTTTTATAATATACCTATTTGATGTCATAAATCTTTATAATTCTCTCTATAATTTTAGTCAAACTTTAGATGCTTCGATTTTTCAAGAAAGTTGGAATAACTTATAATTTAGGATGGAGGGAGTACTTTATACACACACAGGGGTAATGGGAGAAATATATTTTACACTAGATATATGCCCCGTGCGTTGCACCGGGGTCACAATTTTTAAAATTGAACCACAGTAATCTGACATGGACGCGTGAGCTCTGGGGACTTCTCGTATCCGACGCGGACTCGTGGATCTAGTCTTCGTATCATAACCGGGTAGGACACAGACGTGTGAGCTCTGAGTGGACACTACCGGAGACCGGCCAGTTGCCGAGTGTCAGGTGGTTTGCCGAGTGTTCTTTTTCGGGCACTCAGCAAAGACGCCTTTGTCGAGTGTTTTTTTTGACACTCGGCAAAGAGGCTCTTTGCCGAGTGTTTTTTTTAACACTCGGCAAATAGTCTCTTTGCCGAGTGTTTTTTTTTTGACACTCGGCAAAGAGCTTCTTTGCCAAGTGTTATTTTTTTGACACTCGGCAAAGAGCTTCTTTGCCGAGTGTTATTTTTTTACACTCGGCAAAGAAAAATTCAAAGCACATTTTGAAGCAGTAAATTAATTCAAATGAAAATGTTTTCAACTACAAAGTTGTATAACTCATCAAGATGTATAATGTTTGTTTTGGTCTTTTCTTCATACGACAAAGTGAAAATAAATTTGTTCACAAATCTAACATATCTCTATTGTAGTTTATGAAACTACAAGAGAGATATATAAGATTTGTGAATAATGTTAGAACGACCATGTCGGATGAACAGATGACAAAACAACCAAAATAAACTTTGTAGATTTCGAAAAGTTATAAAACTTTATAATTGGCAACTTTTTGATTTGAAAACATCTTGTCATGCAAAACTGCGTTTGAATTTCAAAATTTTAAAATTCGAACTTTTCAAACGACCTCGGATGAAAAAACAACCAAAATAAACTCTGTAGATCTCGAAAAGTTATGAAACATTGTAGTTGACAACTTTTTGATTTGAAAACATCTTGTCATGCAAAACTGTGTTTGAATTTCAAAATTTTAAAATTCAAATTTTGTAAACGACCTCGGATGGAAAAACTTCCTAAACTAAAAGTGTAGATCTCGAAAAGTTATGAAACTTTGTAGTTTACAACTTTTTGATTTGAAAACATCTTGTCATGCAAAACTGTGTTTGAATTTCAAAATTTTAAAATTCAAATTTTGTAAACGACCTCGGATGGAAAAACTTCCTAAACTAAAAGTGTAGATCTCGAAAAGTTATGAAACTTTGTAGTTTACAACATTTTTATTTGAATTCGTTTAGGGCCTCAAACATGCAATTTACACTCGGTTTAATATAATATATTGGGAACTAAAACGGAATTCAGACACAAGTGAGAGTGTGGTGTAGTGGTAGAGGAGGTACGTGCACAGCGAGAGTTCTCGGGTTCGAATCGCGTCGGTCACGTAGCCATGAAATTCACGCGAAAAATGTCGTAGATGGGTGGGCGCTGGCCGGTGGGGGCCTCCATCGATAAAAAAATTCCATTTTTTTTTGGTAAAAATTCCCATTTTTTCGGGTTTTTTTCGGTTTCAACTTTGCCGAGTGTCGGGCACTCGGCAAAGGCTTTGCCGAGTGCCCGATAAAAAACACTCGGCAAAGTTGGCTTTGTCGTCACTTTTTTTGACGAGTGCTGTTCGCCGAGTGTTACACTCGGCGAACCATTTGCCGAGTGTTTTAGGTGGTTTGCCTGAGTGTTTCGGACACTCGGCAAATTCAAGCAGTCTGGTAGTGGGAGCATGATTCGTATCAGATGAGGACGTGTGAGCAGGGATCAAGATTTGATATCAGCAGATAAATGATGACTTTAGAGTCTTTTTAGGTGTCGAGATGGCTACTTTTTATTTTCTAATGTAGGAAAATATTAGTAAAAATATCTTGTAATTAGATCTAGCATATGCATGGATCAATATACGTTATTTGGTTTAGTAGTTCTTCTATTGAAACGTGACATACATGATCCCCTAGTCCTTCCAGCCTTCCAACTAGCCATATATCGCCCCCGTATAGTACGTCCGTGCTGCATGACGTAGCAACGAAGCGACAGATGAAACATATGGAGCAGGGCAACGAACTTACGAACCGGCCGGCTTTGTGGATACATACACGGTGTGTATGAGGGTAGGTAAATGGAAGCTTGTGGGCACACACGACCAAGAGGTTTAGGGACACAGGCGTGACTGACGTTTTTTTTTTCATTTTTCCAAATATTTAGATAACACAATTATTTTCTCTTTTACAAAATCACAGGTTCAGATTTGTTTGGGCGATCCATAGTTCTTATTAGACGTATCGGATAGGGCCATAATGCTTAAATTTTAGCTTAGCAAGTCCCATCGGCTCATTAAACGTATCGGATACCGTAGCAAGCAGGCCCATATATCGTCTCATTAGACGTATCGGATAGGGCCATAGTGCTTAAATTTTAGCTCAAAAGCAGGTTTTTATATATGTGGGGGTAATTTCATGACCACAGTTGAAAAAGGATTCAAATAATTGGTTAGGTTAAAGAGTATTAATCGGTGTTTTTTAGATGCTAAACTCTAGACGGTTATTAGAAACCTTTTGTTTATCGCTTAGTCAGTGTAGACAATAGATTAGACGATTTAAACTCTTTGCATTGAAGTAGTAAATATGCATACAAACACTATAATTCCATTCTAAATTTTAAAAATATGACTTGAGGCACACACAAAGTTGCATAATAAGATATAGACAACTAGACAGGCATAATGATACAGATAGTAGATATGTAGTTCTCACATAGTTAAATGATTACTTGTCACTACGGAATAATATTATATTAGACATTAAAGTTCTAACAACAACACTAATATCAAAAAGTTTCATCAAGTTGGTTCTCTATCATCGTTTAAACACCTCAACTAGTGTTTAAACGTGCTTAAATCACATTAAAACAAATTGTTTAAATGGTTTTTTACTCCTTTGGTTATTTAATTAAGTGATTTTTCTTTAACTCACTATTTTGGACATAAACTACATGTATACTCGCAGTTTAGTGTTTACACCCATGTAGATGACGATTTAAACGAGTTTAGGTGAACACCGGTATTAATAAAAGCTGAAGAACTACGGATTCAAGCCGCCATTTCCGAAAATATTGGGCACACACAGACAAACGTGACATGTAGCAAGGAGAAAGCTCACATCACAAAAGATGACAGGACCTCATCATATAACCATCGTACTATTAGTAACTGGGGCTCCAAAGGCTCCTCCAGATTAATTTGATAGAACTCTAATCATCATCATCAATGATCTTTCATGTTTTCTAAAAAAATTACCCAACTCTGCCGTTACCAAAATGCATAAAATAACTCATATATTTGGATCTAATTTGCCTACATATTTTATTATGAAAGATAATTAAACATAACCTCCTAAATTTGCATCTAGTTTACCCACCTCTACCATTATGAAGATAATTAAATATAATTCCCTACATTTCCATCTAAATTACTCTAATTTGCCATTACAGAAGATAATGCAA